TTCTCTGTGTAGCTTTGGAGCCTATCCTGCCACTCGCTCTGGAGACCAGTCTGGCCTCGAACTCATAGAGATCTGCCCGCCTCTGCCTCCCAAGTGCTGGGATTAAACCCGTGCACCACCAATGCGATGCAAGAATTTTGTGTGCTCACAAGTGTGCTGTGGGTGCTGCAGCTATTCCTGTTATCCACATGGCCTTCCTCTTGGGTCTGTCACTACAGCTGGCTATTGTCTCAGCTGTCAAAAGGCAGTGCAGCTGGACTAGTTATTTAGTAGTCACCTCCCAGAGCTTCTGTGGGGTTGTGTAAGATAGTGCCTGTGCAGGGCCTGGGGACAGTACCCTGCCTGCATACCAGCCCTATTTAACTAACCGCTCATGGGCACACACAGCCTCTTCGTATGGCCTGGGGTAGATGACATGTGCCCACCCTTAGGATTATTGATCCACTCATGCCTCAGACTTGGGCTCAGGTTTCCAAGCTGGTGCTCTGTGCTTTAAGAGAGACCTTCACCCTCTCTGAGAACCTCCAAGATGACGGCAGTCATCATCTGTTGCGTGTATTCTGTGTTCAGGCAACTGTACTGTGATAGACTTGGCTTTACTTTGTCTGGGGACAGGTCTTGGTCCTATCACACCAGTTAAGTCTGTCTCTTCCTCAATCTTGGAGATGTGGGACCTGTTCCGTGGAACAGAAAGGAACCTGGTCTTTGCCTGTTAGGGCATCTGGGCTGTAGTACTCTGCAGATGTTCCCCCTGCAGTCCTCAACACAGGGGGAGAGAGTTTGTAAGACCCCTTTTCTAAGAGGGAGGAGCTGAAGATGATGCTCCACGCTCATGCAGGGTAGCCACAGAAACAGGAATTCTGAACCACAATTGGAGCTCTCCTAGGGGTAGGTAGGGAAGCGGATCGCATTGCATACTGAGCAGCCTGACCTGCTGGTTGCCATGACAGGCGATGTCCAGCCTTCCTGGACCACACAGCCCTCACTCCCATGGTCAAGGCTACAGAGAGTGAGCAGGGAGACCCATAGAGTGCTGAGGCCAGAGGCAGAGAGAGAAAAGAGAGGGGAACAGAAGAAGAAAGTGCCTGGGTGGGACACAGTTGGCTCCAGTGCCCCGATTGGCCTATACAAAGCTGGACCTGTCCTTATCCCTGGGGTTCTGCTTTCCCTTTATGTCTGGATAGGGTTTGTGGCCTTTAAACCACCCTTTAAGTAAGGCAAGGCATTGCCTTTCTGGGGGACTTGGGCCAGTGACATGGATTCGCTCAGTCCTATCTAGCTCCAGCTGCAGCTGGTAGAAGGGTCTGACTTTGAACTATGGAGAGGATAGAAGGAAAGAAGAGGGGAGATGCTTGCGCTGGGGGACCCTGACCCAGGAATAGGAAACTGTGTCTTGGGAGGTATGGCAGTGGGGCCAGTTGTATGCATGCTGCACTTGAGACGGGCCTTGGAAGTATGTTGAGATATAAACCAGAACCAATAGGCAGGTACCTGACAGGCTTTGTCACTACTGCCTTGCACCCTTGAAACTACAATGAAAGGGCTGGGAGGGGGGGTGTAGCTCAGCTGGTAGAATGCTTACCCAGCATTCACAAAGCACTAACCTAACCACCCCACCCAATCCTTAAGTCTAAGCCACAGTTGCCTGTGTTCACTCCCAATTCCGAACCAGAAAGAGAAGAGTCCCCGCCCCACCCCCAGCTGGCCTTCAGAGACCCTGCTCTTCAAGGAGATCCAGAATCACAGATACCCTTGGGCTACAGCTACATCCTCCCTTGGTCCCTACACAGCCCTTACCTTATGCTCAGGATAACACAATCTGAACTCGGCACCAAGATGCTCCCAAAGCCAACCAATCTGTAGCCAGTTCTTAGGAAACCCACACTGTTCCCAGAGACTTGCACTTCACTTTGGGGGCACAAGAAATCCAGGGGCAAAGAGAGCCCCACCCAGTGCTTTCCACCCTTTTTTATGGTAACCAGGGTGGACCTGCCACACATACCATGGGAGGATCCTGCAGCACGAAGAGCTTGGCTCTCCATCAAGTACTCCTGTTGATTGTGTTAACACACCAGCATGATCCCTAAGGGTACACTCCAAGAGATCTGCAGCACACACCTGCATGTTCTACATGGGCCCCTTCATTCATTCAGGAAGGTTTTTCAAACCCCCACTGTGTGCCAAGCACAATGCTAGGCTTTAGAGACAGAAGAAGCATGCCCCCTGCCACATGCATTTGATACTGTAAAAGACAAAGTCAATTGACAAGTTAATCCAGCCCCCCTCTCTTTGATATAGGGTCTCATGTAGCTCAGGCTGCTCTTGAACTTAGTATGTACCTGGGCATGACCTTGAACTTATGGTTCTCTTGCTTCTACTTCTGAGTGTTTTAGATTTACAGGCATGGTCCAGCACACCCAGTTATTTGGTGCTGAGAATCAGACTTCGCTGCAGGCAGGCTACGGTGCCTCTCTCTTCTGGGGCTCTGGTGAGAAGGTGGGGGAGCATCGACAGCTGTGTCTTAGGCGGAAGGATTTGCTAGAACTAGAGCTGCATTGCTGTCAGGTGTGGCTGCTGGGCCCTAACTGGCTGAAAATTGGATGCATCAGTGCAATGAGCTGCTTGCACAACCAAGTATCGGAGCTGCAGGCATTCGATGGCGAAGGCTCTAGTCTCACCTGGCAGCTTGAACAGCTGGGCCAGCAAGCAGTTCTGGGTATTAATGAAGATAGAAAGTCCAGGTCCAAGGATTGTGACAACCTACTGTGCCTTGCTGCTGTGTGGATTGATTGGAGCTTGTAGCTCTATTCATACTAGGAGACCGACCATGGCACTGGGGGTCCGCTGTGGCTGGGTGACTGGGGAGGGACTGCCTGGGCAGGCTAGAAAGAAGGCACGGAAAGCATCCCCACTGGCTGTGCTGGAGAAGCAACATGAGCAGTATGGCACTGGTCATATACCTGGAGAGACTTAGGGACAGACATGGGCCCTCGGAAACGCAAAGGTACGGGAAAGCTCAAAGGCACCAGTAAAGCTGCACCGCATGGGCAGAGGCAGGAAGGAGGGCAGGAATGGAGTAGGGACACTTAAAGGGAAGAACAGAGTGGCTATGTTGACTGAAGATAGCTTTCTGGGGTGCCTGACCATCCATGTACACTTGGTAGAGAAGGATGCGGGGCGGCTCGAAGAGGTCAGGAGGTCACTCTGCAATTAAGCTGAGGCCCATGTTGGTAGCTAGGCCTCTCAGAGGAACACAAGGATGCCAAGGTAGGAAGCATGTGACTCAAGTCACTGCTAGAGTCAGGGTACCCTCAGATTCAGACACCTGAGGTTGACACTCAGGGTCTTGAGCCCTGGTGCCCTGGCTACCCTGGGTTCAGATCAGCCCACCCTGCCCATGGCCACGTGGCTGACGGGATTTCCGCCATGTTTGGGGCATGAATTGACAAGTGCTCCATTGACGGGGCAGGGGAGGGGGTAGGCAGGGCACAAGACTCCCACTGTGCTATGTCCCCACCCTCCCCACCCCCCCAGGACAATGGCCAAGACTCAGCCAGCAGCCACAGCTGGTGGGAGGGAGGCATGAGAAGGGGGACAGGGAGGGTCCAGGGTGGAGGGACCACCTGGGTCCCTGCCTGCTCGCCTCCTGCACCTGGCTTGGATGTTCTCATTCCCTTGTGCCCAGATGAGTAATCTTAAAAGGAGGAGAAAAGGGGAGGCTATTTTCCCACAGCCTGGACCCTGGCCTGCCTGGGAAGAAACGGCATCTGCATCTGGCTCTTGTTTCCAGCAGGTAATAAAGGGCCTAATTAGTGTGGAGGCCCTGGGGCACAACTCTGGGACAATGTGGGACATGGAGAGGCCCTGTCTAATCCTGGCCTCTAGGTCCTACATGACCTGTCCAAGGTCTCCATGCCTGGCAAGGCTACCTCTAGTCCCTGGCTCATCATTTTGTTCATTCATTCATGCTGTAGCTAGTAATCTTGCCTGCTGTATGCTGGGATTCTTAGATTGCAAAGACACCCAGGAGCCATAGCCCAGTTCCTGCCCTGGAACTATAGGCAAGATAGCCACTCTCCGCCTCAGACTCTTCCCCTATGCAATAGAGGACGGTGGCCTCATAGGAGAGATGTTCTTTGGCACTCACACACCTTCTCCAGGGAGGTGCCAGCCTGGTAAGCAGTAGACAGCCTGCCGTGAAAGGAGAAGAGGGGTGAAAGGAAGAGTCATGGCTGCCACTTGGGCTGGGATTTTGGATAATAAAAACCTACCAAAGAATGAGAATTGGCTTTCTCTGGTAGATGCAGCAGCATATGCAAAGGCCCTGTGGGTGGTGTGTTTGTCCTTGACAGGAAGGAAGCAGGAGCTGGGCTTCAGAGAGTGGCACAGAGGAGGCTGGGAGGCAAGCAGAAGGCAGCCAGTGCCACGCTTTGGACAGCTGAGGGGCTCTGACTTTTATCATTTGCTGGGCGAATTTGTTGGAAGATTGGAGGAGGAGGAGGAGGAGGAGGAGGAGGAGGAGGAGGAGGAAAGAACTGATTGGTGACATTGGGGTACCACTTTCTGGATGTGGGGCCTTGGGTGGCCTGTGGCAGGTCAGTGGTCACTTTCCAGGTGGTCTTGAGGATGGGGGAGGGGGATGACACGTTTCCTGTCTTGAGTCTCCAGCCCTGCAGGCGCTCCTAATTTGGATCCAGTGTTCCTTGGTTCTCTTGGCAGTAGGGCAGCTCTCCTAGAGTGTACCTTGAGGATTGTGTCCTCTCCTGGGCCCCTGGAGGGCTCTATTCCAGCCTCGAGATCCCCAGGCTCCCACAAGCCTCTGGGACAATAGAGATATGTGAATTGCTGGCTAGGCTGGGACCCTTGCAGTGTCAGGGCAGTGTGAAGAGAAGACAAGGCTCTCGTAAGGAGAAGGAGATGGGGGGGTGGGTCCTGCATGCCTCAGGAAGCCTCAGCGTCTCCCCCTCCAGAGTCTGAGACCCACCTCACCCTGCCATCAGCCTCCTCCTCCCACCTCCGTCCTCCCGGACCCTGGCACGAGAGGGTCCCTCCTCCCCTAGCCACATCTGGTTCTTGTTAGGGTCTCCCAGGATGCCTGGGCCTGAGGCCCCCATCCCCCAGGGGAGGTGAACAGGAGGATTAGGGGCGATTAGGAGTGCTCCTGGCCAGGGAAGGAGGGGCCCAAGAGGAGGGGCTGGGATGGTTATAAACAGCAGTCCATGACCACATCAGCCCATCACTCACCCAAGGTGCCAAGTTCAGTCTCAAAAACCTGCAGCTTCAGCAGCTGGTGCAGAGTGGGGGTGGGGCTCCAGGCTCTCCCCTCTTCTTCAGAAACCCTTTAGCAATGCTGTGGGGCTGGGGGACCAGGCTGGGAGAAGACACAGAAACATTGGCTACACCTTTCTCCCCAGGGGTCAGATTGGCTCATTTTTCTGTGTGGCTTTGGGGTAAGGAGTGATCATCCTGAACAATGGGGACAGAGGTAGCAGCACCAAGTTCGTGGGACTGATTGAGTGTAAAACGCAATGTGTAAAGTGCTTAAATAGTGCCAGACCTGAGAGCATGAGCCTCCTGGCCAGGGAAGGAGGGGCCCAAGAGGAGGGGCTGGGATGGTTATAAACAGCAGTCCATGACCACATCAGCCCATCACTCACCCAAGGTGCCAAGTTGTCATTGTCATCAACATAGTATGAATTCAGGACTGGTAGGCACTTCCTAATGAGCTGCCATCACCAACAATGTTACTTTTCCCATTGTTAATGATGGGTTGGTAGGATTTAGTGACACACTGCCCATGAAGTTGGCAGAATGCCTCCTATATATAGTAAACTCAGTGATGGGTATGGCACACAATAGGCACCCAATTACTGGGAGCTGTGGCTACCAGAAATGAGTGAGGTGGAATTGGAACTTGGGCGGACAGACTGGCCATGTACAGCCTCACAGGGCACGGCTGGCACTGACCATGCATGGTGGGTGGGTGCCCTCTGTTCCCGGCTGGGGTGAGCCTGGGTGGGGGTCAGTAGGAGGCCCTGGCCTGTCGCAGGCAGCGTGTGACTCCTAGGAAGGCTTAGCCACTCATGCTCATTAATTCATTAATCACCTAAGCGGGGCTCAGCATTCTTCAGATGCCAACTGAGGCCAGGGAGGGGCCTGGGCTGGGGGTTCGGAGACCCCAGGGTGCTGGGCTTCCGGAGGTGAAGACAGCCCCTCCATTTGCAGAGCTCCCACCGTGTATAGTGCGTCTTATGATCCATAGCTTTACAGTTTTACAGCCATCACAGTTTCTCCAAGAAACAGCTGTTCATCTGCCATTTTCCTAAGGATACTAAGGCCCAAAGAGAGTATGGCCTCTTTGAGGTCACACAGCAGGCTGAGTTGGGTGGGGTTTGTCCTGACCAGCCTGAGCCCTGTTCCCAGGACTCCCCAGAGGAAGGACTCAAGGTGCTAACCCAAGACTTAAAGCTCCAGATCAGTGGTTCACAACCTTTCTAATACTGTGACCCTTTAATACAGTTCCTCGTGTTGTGGAGACCCCTCACCATGAAATTATTCCATTGCTACTTCATAACTGTTAATTTTGTTACTGTTATAATCATCATGTCATATCTGATATGCAGGATGTCTGATATGCAGTCCCTGTGAAAGGGTCATCCGACCCCCTCAGGAGTTGAGAATCACTGCTCTAGAGGGTCGTTCCTGCTTCAGGGGAGCTGGCCACTGGGTGGGGTGTCCTCTGTTATCAGGGTTGACGCATCTCTCACGTCAGCCCCCTTATCACTCCTCCCTTTGGCTGCCACACTCCTCGCCCCACAAGGTGACCCTGGGAGAGGAAAGGCCATCACCACCCCCTCTCTTTCCTTGCCATGCCCAGGAGCCCTGAATTGCATTTCTTTGTCCTTCCCCTTTATGGGGCTGAGGCCAGGGGAGGAGAGCGGGCAGGCAAACAGGTGGGAGGTAGAGGAGCAGAGCGCTGGCCACTTTCCCTTCCTGCGTGAGGTCAGGACTTACTGTGCCTCTCTCATCCTGTCTCCCCTGGAGAGTCGGGGCTGAGCTCCCCACTCCCAGCACAGGGGCAGGGGGCCTAGCCACCAGAGATGGGCCACACTGCCTCTACTGATGTTGCTCTCCAGCTCTCTCTGAAGCTGGGGCCAGGGGTGCAGTGGTTCCTTGAATTTCTGGGTCCCTGGCTGTGTGCTTTGCCCACCAGACCTCATACCTCCAGGTGCTCAAGGCTGGGTCTCCTGGAAGGACAGGACAGGAAAAGTCATTCTGGGTCTGTGCTGCTGGGTTGGTAAGGTCTCGCTTGCTCCTCAGAGCATTCTGTAAGATGGAGGGGCAGATGAGAGGGATGCAGATGAGCCCGCCACATAGCCAGAGAAAAGATGTGGAAGGGCAAGAGTGTCTTCTCTGTCCCCAGCCCTATACATTAGGCCGCTGACCTCCTGGGAAGCAGGGTATCCTTGAGGGTTGTGGGCAGGCATTATTTTTAGAGGGGCATCAGGGTGGACATTAAAGACCATGCATAGAGGGGAGCTGGGTCTTGTGTTTCAGAGCCTAGCCTGAGGAGGGCTGGTGGGCTCTAGGCCTGGGATCTTCAGAGAGCTATCTCAAATCCAGCTGCCCCTGCTTTGCAGGCCATGACATCAGCGGTGCCCTGGAGCCTTCCAATATAGACACCAGTATCCTGGAGGAGTACATTGGCAAGGAGGACGCCTCTGATCTGTGAGTCACCTCAGCTGAGACCTCTGGGCAGTTCCCTGCGGGAGGGGATGGAACTTCCCCTCCTGCCTGGGGACCTGGGGGCTGAGCCTCCTCCCTTCCCCACAGCTGCTTCCCTGACATCTCTGCACCAGCCAGCACAGCCTCCTTCCCCCACGGGCCACCAGCCATCCCCGGCTCCAGCGGGCTCCACCATCTGAGCCCCCCTGGGAGTGGACCATCCCCCGGGCGTCATGGCCCCCTCCCACCCCCGACCTACGGCACCCCACTCAACTGCAACAACAACAACGGCATGGGCACTGCCCCCAAGCCCTTCCTGGGGGGCTCTGGGCCTCCCATCAAGGCAGAGCCCAAGGCTCCCTATGCCCCAGGGTGAGTGGGGGCAGGGAGTGGGTGGGGACAGGACACAGGGGCACAGTGACCACTGTCTGGTAGATGTTGGCCTATGGACTCACAGTGGGTAGGGCTTAGATGACAGGCTCCCTTATGGGTAGGTTCCAATAGGGGTGACACCAGGCTGATAGGAGACTTGTGTGCTTTTTTCTGAGGCCATGAACAGTCAGTCACCAGGGTTCTTAAGAACAGTGAGGACGGTAGTGTTAGAAAATCTCAAAGCAATGATGGGACAGAAGCAGAAAGACCTGGGACCCCAATCAACACCCACAGGAACCCGAGGACACTCCCATGCTCCATCTACCCAGGGAGCATTTAACTCTGACATTTTCTGTGTTCTGAGAGTTGGCAGGGTCTCAGGCATAGCCTCTTACCTCTTAGAGCTAAGGTAGTTACATCCCGAGGAGGGCTTCGCTCTACCAGCCTCCCCCATCTCTCTACAACTGACCACAGTGATATCCTGACCCATAGCCCAGCCAGCATCCAGACTCTGTGGTTCTCAACCTTCCTAAGGCTGTGACCCTTTAATACAGTTCCTCAGGTTGTGATGACCGCCGACCATAAAATCCTTTTCATTGCTACTTCATAACTGTGATTTTTCTTACTGTTATGAATTGTAATGCGAATGTCTGATACGTGACCCCTTTGAAAAGGTCATTTGACAACCCTCCTAGGGGGTCACGACCCACAGGTTGAGAACCACTGCTTGAGAGCATGTTCAAGGGGTGTTCCTCAGGCTTTCCAGAGATCTCAGTGAGGCAGGGCAGAAGTCTTGCCTTTAGGTAGAAGGCTACAAGGGGCATAGATGATGCAGTGTCTGGCACCAACCCAGTCCTCCCATTTGTCAGCTTTTGGGCTTGGTGACCTACAACCTCTGCCAGAGGCTGGGTTTCCTCACCTTTCACACGAGCCCCACATTCATGGTGGAAACCAAGTGGGGGAAAGCAGAGAGAAGTATTGGGTAGGTGTATTTGACATTGTCAGCAGGGACCCCTGAGGACCTGGCTTAGGGTGACTGTAGTGGAAGAAGCTGCCTGAGGGTGGAGGGGAGACAGCTAAGGGTTAGCAGACACAAGTGAGCTCCTTGACCTTCCCCTGAACCAGCTCTAGGTGGCCCCTGCAGAGCTTGTTCAGGGTCACATGGGCATCCTGGTGTAGGCTTTGTTCTAGGCAATAAACAACATGTGCCCCATAATGGGTGGCGAGGGAAGTATGAATGTATTACAGGCTGAGGGTGCTGCTCCGGGATGGGGTACCTTCTAGTGTGGGCAAGGCCCTGGAGCCCCTCTCCAGCACTATGAAAATAAAATAATACCCCACTATACAGGACATAACAAGTGAGACGATGAAAGAATGCAGGGTCATGTGAGCCGGGCCATTTGATGGCGGGGACTAGAGGGTGTTAAAGATGCTGGGGGAGCCAAAGAACACTGTTAAGAGGTACAGGGGGCAGGTGGGAGACGGACTGGGTCAGCACATGGACTGAGCCACAGTGAGGGATCTCAGGCCCTACTCTGTCTACTTTTCCATGTTGTTAGGAAACCTGTTTTGGGGGGGTCCACATTTTTATTTAAGGTTCTTGGTTTTGAACTCAGGAACTCTTCATGCACACTAGGCGAGTGAGTGTTCAACCGCTGGGCTACATCCTGCCCCTCACCCCACCCCTTTTCACTTTTTGAGGTGGGTTCTCACTAAGTTGTCCAAGCTAGCCTTAAACTCACTCTGTAGCCCTGGCAGGCCTTGAACTCGTGATTTCTCTGTCTTGAGCCTCCTGAGTAGCTTGGGGTACAAGTCTGCACCAGATTCCGGATCCTTATTCTTGAACTGATTTTAGAGATGTAATGAGGCCCAGAAAAACTGAGGGTGGGGGTGGGATGGGGAAAAGTGGGCATGGCTTGTTCAGGGGTGCAGTAAGATTCTACAGACAGCAGGGATGTGTTCATAAGAACCTTGAAGCCTTTCTGGTGGCCCTTGGGCATGGTGCAGGGGAGTCTCTCCAGATGTGGGCATGAGAGATGACAAAAAAAAGTCAGAACCCTGGTCAGCCACAGTCTCTCTCTGAGTGAGTACATGTTCTGTACAGGACGTGTTGACCTCTGGGTTTGAGTTTGTTCTTTTGCCTGAACCACTGATAAAATAAAACTTGCAAGGAAAAAAAAAAAAAAACAAAAAACAAAAAAAGAAAAAACAAGCCTAGGCCCAGAAAAGCTGGCTCCCTGCCCAGTTCACACCCCGGTGGATCACACCTGCCTCTGGCAAGGCAATTCCTGGTGACCCACTGAACCACCTCAGACCCAGCCCCCAGGTCCTAGGATTTCCAGGAAGCTGAAAGCTTTAGTGGGTGCGAAGGGAGGCAGAGGCCTGACCCCTCTTTCTGAGGAGGGGCATCCTCCACCAGAGACCTGGCCACTGACCCACAAATAATCATTATTAGGTCTGGATATCCAGGGCAAGATCTCAAAGTCCTTCACCCACACTAAAGTGCTGGATCCTCCCAGGGCTCTAGGATAGGTGGACAGAGATACCCTGGATACCCTGGGATATCTGTGAGGAGATCTCAATGGTGAAGATGGTAGGGGTAGGGGTGGGGTCTTTGCAACCCTGCCCACCAGAAGAGATAGCTGCCTGGCTTGAGGGTTGGGTCTGGGGGTTCAGCTGCTGGCCCAACAGTCTCCCTCCTCCGCCCCCTTCCCCCGCAGCACATTGCCAGACTCGCCCCCAGACTCAGGCTCTGAGGCCTACTCCCCTCAGCAGGTGAATGGTGAGTCCAGCGGGCAGTGCCACCCTCCCCCTCTGGGTTTGGGCAAATGGTTGGTGCAGCCTTATCAGGGAGAGAGGGAGGAGGGAGGGAGGGGGCCAGCGGCTGCCCAACGGGCCAGATTATCGCTGGTCAAATACTCCTCGGCGCTGCCTATTGTTCCCCCATGGGCGGGTGGGGAGCCTGGTCTTGCCTCAGAGCAAGTGTCCCTGCTGGTGATGCCACCGTCTGGCCCCCTGCGCCATCATGGATGCGCCCTTTGGCGGTAAGTGGACAGCTGAGGAAGGCTGCTGCCGGGCCCACCTTTACAGGGTGCTGAGGGGCACATTGGCCCCCATGTGGCCAAGAGTAGAATGATCATGGGCAGACTGAAGAGGGGTCAAGAGTTCTGTTTATCCTACCAAAACATCCCTGGAATGCTTCCTGAGGAACAAAGGGAGCTGCAGCCCCCTCAGGCTGGGGGACTGGCCCCTGGAACCCCAGCAGGGCTGCTGGAGGGAGGAGGCTGGGTGGGGGACTGGGCTAGGGTCCCCCAGAGACTCTTTCTTCAGGCTTCAAAGGAATGAGACTGGGGATCTCCTGAGGGGCTTGACCGGGGTAGCCTAGGGGAGAGAGCTGGCTAGGATAGGGAACCACCCTTGCACAGTCTGACTTCCCTGCTCAAACTCTTAATTGCTGGTTTTCCAGTCTCTCCACCCAGACTCTGGCATGGCTCAGGAGGGCAGGGAAGCAAGAGACCGTGCCTAGGGAGAACGGGCGAGGTGGGTCTCTGACTCCTGTGCCCCATCTCTTTCTCAGACCCCCATCTTCTGCGCACTACCCTGTCATTCAGCGGGACCTCTACATGAAGGCTGAGCCCCCTGTACCCCCCTATGCTGCCATGGGGCCGGGTCTGGTGCCCCCCGAACTCCACCACACCCAGCAGACTCAGGTGCTACACCAGCTGCTGCAGCAGCACGGAGCTGAGTAAGGCTTGGGCAGAGCCTCCTTGGCAGAAAGGTGGGGTGGGAGTTAGGGCATTGAGAGTAGGGGAGACAGGTGACCTTAGAGAAAAACAGAGGCCCTACAGAAGTGATACTGGGAGGGGCCTGATTGGTGACAGCTACCCCCTTCACAGATGGCTAAATTGAGGTTCTAAGGAAAAAAAAATAGTTTTCCCAGGTCATGGACTAGTAAAGGGCAGAGCCAAGACTTGAAACTGGAACTGAATCTTCAATCCAGACCCCAGTGCCTTTCTCCCTACTTACTGGAATCCTTAGGTTTTTGAAGGTGACAATTGCAGAATGCTGTATGTGACACAGATGTTCTGTGAAGGCACAGACCCCTGCCCTCCTGGATTCCATAGGGGTAGGGATAAGACTGTGGCAAAGAGTCTTTAGAACGGGAACACTGAGTGACAGGCTGAGTGACACTGAGTGACAGAGTACTAGGAAGGTACCTGAGGGCCTCCTGTGGGAAGTGTCTTCCTGCCGGGCATTGCCTGCTGAAATGGTGCTGAGGGGAAAGGGGTCGGCACTGCACAGGAGAAGGCTCAGGAAAGGAGAGCCAGCCCCAAGGTACTTACCTCTGCTCCCCAGGCTCCCTCCACACCCCTCCAAGAAAAGGAAGCACTCGGAATCACCCCCCAACACCCTCAATGCCCAAATGCTGAATGGAATGATCAAGCAGGAACCTGGGACTGTGACAGCCCTGCCCCCACACCCTGCCAGAGCTCCATCCCCACCATGGCCTCCCCAGGGCCCGCTCTCACCTGGCACCAGTTCCTTACCCCTCAGCATTGCCCGAGTCCAGACTCCACCTTGGCATCCACCAGGTGCACCCTCCCCAGGTAGGTGACTGACTGGCCTTTGGTGGTGAGTGGAAACCCTGGGCTTAGATCTGACCTGGTGTTCTGTCCCTTCAGGCCTCCTGCAGGACAGTGATAGCCTCAATGGCTCCTACCTGGACCCCAACTACCAATCTATCAAATGGCAGCCACATCAGCAGAACAAGTGGGCCACCCTGTATGATGCCAACTACAAAGAACTGTGAGTGATCTGTGCCACCTAGCCACCTTGTCTTGAGACAGCTTAGGGTACCATTGAGGTCCTAAGTCAGGGCCCGGGAGCACTCTGGGTATAAAAGAATCACATTTGACAGAAAAGCCAACAAGCTCAGGGAATCATTAGGCCCAGGGCTCAGGCTTAGGGCCTCTGGTCAGCCCAGATCTCTCTAAAGGTCTCTACCAGGGAGGGGCTGTAGGAGCCGGGTCAGGGAGAAGTGGGCAGAGGCATGTCTTCTGGCCCCTCCTCCAGGTTCTCCTCCGACTTTCCAGGAAGGTAGCCTGAAGCTTAGCATAAGCTGGGTCCTTACAGCAGCCCCCTCTCTGTGGAGGGAGGAGGAGTGGAGGGGACTAGGGGTGAGGCTGCCCAGAGCATTCCTGTTCCTTCCTCAACACCACAGGCCCCAGGCCAAGAACCCAGTGGGGACCACCCTCCTTCCTCCCCTAATAGGCCAGGTACGTCAGAGGGTGACACCCCTCAATGTACTTTGGACTTAGCCAAGCAAGAGCTAGATGACTGGGGCTCTATCGTCAGAACAGTAGCTGAGACAGGCTTCCTGGAGTGGGTGCCCTGAGCTGTGGAATTTCCATCCAGTAGCTAAGGGCATCCACTAAGGGCTGGGTAGGGTGGGATGCCCAGTTGTGATGGCCACTGAAGTGATCTAGATGACACTTATAGGATCTGGTCCCTATGCCTTGGAGAGAAATCCCTCTGTTAATACCTCCATGCTCTTTGGGCACCTTGCTATCTCCCTATCTAGGCCCCAAGGCCAGAGAGCTAGCAGCAGAGGTGCTCGGTGTGGCTGGCCCAGGTACTTTCGGGTATTTTCTTAGGTCACACAGATGGGCGAGCCCTGTAAGAGAAGAAAGAGACCAGGCCTCCCCTTGGACCTTGCTAGTGGGTGGGGAAGCACCCCTTTCCCTGTCTAGCTCCCTGTGGGTGTTACCCTCTAATCCATGGTAACTCAGGGTAGGATGAGTCAAGTCCGAAGTCAACAAAGTAAAGTAGTCTCTTTACTACCCCTGGAGGTGCCCTAAAGGCTCCCGACACTGTCTCCGAGACAGATGGCAAGCTTCAGTTGTTCCTGATGGGGAGGTCAGAAACCAGAAGTACTCCCCTCTCTCTGGGGCAGTTGTGGGAGTCAGAATGAGGGCACTGGGGGCCTTGAGCAGGGGGTGGGCCAGAGTGGGTCAGGGTGGGCCCAAGGCAGAGCTGGCTCCTGGTTCCACCGTTTCCATGGCAACCAGCTGTCAGGCACAATGAGACTCTGCAGATGCAGCCCCTCTCATCCCATCTCCCACAAGGGAGGGGGCTTCAGGCAATATGTGGGAAATGGGTAAGTGTGCTGAAGGTGGCCAAGGACTGAGTGCCCTCACTTCTGGTGGGCCTTTAGAGCCTTGACTTGTTTCCTTCATCCCAGCATGTGACAGTGAGTGGCCCAAGGCAAGAAAGGAAAAACTCATGCAGCTCCTCTTGGGGGTGTAGTCTCCACCGCTAGAATTGGCCTGACCCCTCGGTGGTTTGAGAATAAGTAACAGCATTGGAACATGGGCCTGTAGACAGAAGCAATGGCCCACATTTGGCTTGGGGACCACTGGTGAGGCTCCTCCCTTCCCCCTTCCCGCTCCTAGGCCTATGCTCACCTATCGCGTGGACGCTGACAAGGGCTTCAACTTTTCGGTGGGTGACGATGCTTTTGTGTGCCAGAAGAAGAACCACTTCCAGGTGACCGTGTACATTGGCATGCTGGGTGAGCCCAAGTATGTTAAGACTCCGGAAGGCCTCAAGCCGCTCGACTGCTTCTACCTGAAGCTGCATGGAGTGAAGGCAGGTTTGGGGTTCAGCTAGGAAGGGAGAACAGGAGGGGCCAGGAAGCTCCAAGATGCAAGTGATGAGGAAATACACCACAGCTGACCACCACCACTCCACCTAGATGCGGGGCTCCTCAGACCTCACCATCTCCCTTAAGCTTTGCTTTCTTCCCCACCCCAGACCCCAAGTCTTCATCTCCAAGCCAAGACCCATCTTCTGGCCCTCCAACTGATACCTCAGCTCTCAGAACCAAAACAAGCTCCCTGCCACTTGTCCTTCTTCCCTGCTTCATCTCATGGTCCTGGCTACTCAAGCCATATATGTAGGGACCCTCCTACCCTCAGCTTTTCATGCACTTGGCTTTGTTTGGAGGCTCTGGAGGCTCTGGAGTAGTCTTTACCTCCTCTCTTTGGCCTCTCCCTTGGCCTGAGTCACCCTCATTCCCATGTCTGAATATACAATCAGCTTTTACTTTGCCACCAATTCCCATGACACATGTGGTTTTAGTACACTCCTTTCCTAAGACTCTAGTGTCTTCCCACTGTCTCCTAAACTGTGCCCACAAGGGCGTTAGAAATCCACCCCCATGTGCTGTGTTCCACATTGGGACTTGTAGAGTCCCATCCCAGCATTCTATCCCGTTCCTCTTGGCAGACTCCATTCTGATGTCCCTCTGGGAAACCTGCCCTGAGGCCCTTTATGTTCCATAGCACAGCCACTGGAGCCCATGAGCTCCCTGGGGACAAGACAGGGTGTGTCTGATTCTGTCACAGAGTGCCTGGCATGTTGACGTGGCTCAGTCACTGTTTCTGAAGAGATGAGAGGCTGTGGGTATATGAGAGTGGCTAGGGTGCGCTATGTATGTGTGTGTGTGTGGGGGGGCTGGCTGCAGGTGAGAAGGCTGTGCAGGTATGGGAATGGGTCATAAGGCTAACTGGAAGACACGTGGGCATGCATGGAAAAGTTAGCCAAATGACATGGTGATGTGTTGCCATCATGGAGGTGACCATACATTGCCATGCAGAAGTAGGGGAAGAAATGAACTGTCATGAACTGTGAGCTGACATGAAGGCTATGTGTGTGTGTGTCATTGAAATGTCTTGGGAGTGTGGAGTGTGGATGTGGAGGCCCCTGAGTTTTCGAGAAAGTGAGGTGGGGACAGAATTCTGCTGTAGACCAGGGTGAGGGGATGAAGGAGGAAAGGACCAGGTGGCAAACCTTGTCCTGAGGTGCCCTGGGCCTATTCCTCTCCAGCTAGAGGCCCTGAACCAGTCTATCAACATTGAACAGTCACAGTCAGACAGAAGCAAGAGGCCCTTCAACCCTGTCACGTGAGTATCCAGCCCTGCGGGCATGGTGCCTGGAAGGGCCCGTCTTAGAACTGGCTTGGGAGCCAGGGAGACAGGCAGGCACCCACAGTGTTCTGTACCTGTGGCTGCCCTGCAGTATGGCTCCTGGCAGCCCCCTTTTCTGCTGCCTGAGCATCTTGCCATCCTCTGCAGGGTCACTCTTCCCCCTGAGCAGGTCACAAAGGTGACCGTGGGGCGGCTCCATTTCAGTGAGACCACTGCCAACAACATGAGAAAGAAGGGCAAGCCCAACCCTGACCAGAGGTGAGTAAGCCAGCCTGCCCACAGGAGGCCCTCGCTTCTGAGGAGCGGGGTCAAAAACGGACCTCCGTGGAGCATGCCAAGCGCAGGGTCCACATAGGCCTGTTTCCAGGAAGAAGAACTTGTGGTTCAAAATATTTGGCAGATTTAGGGACTCAGACTCAGAAGACTGGCTTGTGAGTTCAGAAACATTTCTGGGGCTCCTACTGGTGGACCCAGAGAAGAATTTTGCCCCCTAGTGGAGGCTCATGTTTCTCCTCTGTGGGATACTGTGATAACTCCACCTCCTGGGGTGTGATGACAGATGGGGATATAAGCACCCAGGCATTTGGCCCAGGGAGGATGGCTAGGGCCAACCGATAACTCCACCTCCTGGGGTGTGATGACAGATGGGGATATAAGCACCCATCTGTGTTACTGAGTGTTACTGAGTCCCCGGTGTATCCCAGGTATTTCATGCTGGTGGTGGCCCTCCAGGCACATGCACAGAACCAGAACTACACACTGGCAGCCCAGATCTCAGAGCGCATCATTGTGCGGGTGAGAGTCGTCTCCCCCCAGGGGCAATACCTCCTCCAAACTGGAAGAAATAGCATCAGGAAAATACTATGAAATGGGGTTGGGTTGATGTGTAGCTCTTGTTGGGCACTGACCGAGTGGCTTTGGGCTTTGTCACCCTATCTAGGCCTCATTGCCTTCTTTGCTGTAAAGCATGAAGGTGGCTCACACCTAGTAGCCTCCTGGGTCCCACAAGTGACTCAATGTTGTCACAACGAACAGGGACATGGTGGGATAAGGAGACTTGACTAGGAAGGGTATTCCTGGGGTTTTCCCTTTTCTCAGGGCCCCGAAGTTCCCCCTAACTCCAAGACTGATCTAGACCCAACTTGCCATAGGCCTCTAACCCAGGCCAGTTTGAGAGTGACAGTGACGTCCTGTGGCAACGGGCACAGCTGCCAGACACCGTCTTCCACCATGGCCGTGTGGGCATCAACACAGACCGGCCAGATGAGGCACTGGTTGTGCATGGCAATGTCAAGGTCATGGGATCTCTCATGCATCCTTCAGATTTGCGGGCCAAGGAGCATGTGCAGGAGGTAGGGATGAGGCCAAGGTGAGAGGCAGTGCTGTGGGTGATGAGTAGGACCAGTGGGAAGGATCAGGATGCTAGGGTAGGGGTGGGGAGGCTGACTCTGTACCTCAGTACCAGGGTCTCCCTTCTACACTGTAGCCCTCAGGCTGCCATCCAGATGTACCTGAGGTCTGTGCTGGACGGCAGCTGGAGGGAAGGAGGGCTCAGTGTTGGCTCTATCCCTTGGCAGGTGGACACTACTGAGCAATTGAAAAGGATCTCTCGCATGAGGCTAGTGCACTACAGATACAAGCCCGAGTTCGCTGCCAGTGCAGGCATTGAGACCACTGCACCAGAGACAGGTAGAGATGTACCTGTGTCCCCCAAGCTCTGGCCAGTTTGTCCTGTCTCTTGGAACCTGTTCCCAGAAACCCCTGCATTGACCTTTGGAGTTCCACAGTCTGAAATATCAACCCCTCTGCTACCGGAGTGTTATGCCTCCCAGGTCTTTGGATCCCTACCCTTGGGCTCATCATCTAAGAGTCACCTGGCCTGAAATCTTTGTCACACAGCATTCAGAGATTTTGTGTCCTCTCAGAGCCTCACCTCCTTCTCCTAAGATACTGCTAGGATCCTGCCTACCCCACAAATCTTACATCTCGAGCCTGAGAGCTTCTAGAATGTGAACAGTTGTCTGAGGGAGCCCCTGCACCCAGGGTTCCTCAAAATTCAACTCTCAGGTACCTCCCCAGAAAGCTATGAGCAGCTATGGGACAGGACCCCCTGCCACACACTCTTTGCTTGTCCTCAGGTGTCATCGCACAGGAAGTGAAGGAGATCTTGCCTGAGGCTGTGAAGGACACAGGAGATGTAGTCTTTGCCAACGGGAAAACCATAGAGAACTTCCTGGTAGTGAACAAGGTCAGTTATGAGGAAGGTCAGAACTAGAGGAAGCTGTGGGACAGAGGGGCTGGCCAGTGGGTGGCACTGGTCTGCAGAGGGAGGAAAGAAGGGCTTTCCTGCTGGTACCTCCAGAGTCCCTTCCCACCACACAGAAAGGGGGCCAGTGTTCAAAATGGAGGGGCAAGTTAACCGCTGTAGACTGTCTGGTACAGGGCAAGATGACTCCCACTGAGAGTACACTCCCCGACCCCCATCAATTAAAAGAGGGTAACACAGTGTGTCACCTAGTTGTCTCAAGGCTTAAAGGTGTGGTTTATTATGAAGGTAACATTTGTACCTTCATGTGGTGTCATGAACCTTGTGTACAGAGACGGACACATGACACATTTTACTTACCTGAGGGAGTAGGTCCGAGGGCTGGAGCTCTGATTTGAGAGAGGCAAGGTTGTTTAGGTAGACATTTAGTCTAGGCAGGGGGCAGCAGACATGCTGTGTGAACCAGGGTGTGGCTGGAGCAGAGTCTACCTCCAGGCAGGGATATTTCCAGGGCCTCTGTTGACTGTGGAGAGTGGGGATTCTGCTCCTGCCCCCATCTAGCCCACAACTTGGGAGCTTCTTGGGCTGATGGTGCCCTCAAGGCTGTTGTTGCCCTGGGGCAGGAGCGAATCTTCATGGAGAATGTCGGGGCTGTGAAGGAGTTATGCAAACTGACAGACAACCTGGAGACGCGCATCGATGAGCTGGAGCGCTGGAGCCACAAGCTGGCCAAACTGCGGCGCCTTGACAGCCTCAAGTCAACCGGCAGCTCTGGCGCTTTCAGGTGGGGGTGCTGGGTGGGGTTGGGGGCCAGGAGAGACCTCTTCTGGAAAGCATCCTGACTTGTCCTCTTACTGCAGTCATGCAGGGAGCCAGTTTAGTCGGGCAGGCAGTGTCCCCCACAAGAAGAGGCCCCCTAAGGTGGCCAGTAAGGTGAGGCTGTGCAGGGTTGGGGAGCTCATAGGGCCAGGGCCTCATCACCATGCCCCCTCCCTTCCAGCTTGCACCACTCCAAACTCCTTGACTCCAGCGCTAACCCCTCCCGTCTCCACTCTTGACCTTGTAGCCCTTCCAGCCCTTTCTTGCTTCCTTTCCCTTTGACCATGAAGAATGGGGATGGGGAGATTGGGCAAGGAAATGGGGTTCCTAAGCCCACCATCTTCTGCTGTCTTCTTTCCTCTTGGTCCCCAGTCATCACCAGTGGTCCCAGACCAGGCCTGCATCAGCCAGCGTTTCCTTCAGGGAACTATCATCGCTTTGGTGGTGGTCATGGCCTTCAGGTGACTTGTCTCTTAGGTTCTGGGGAGGCTGGCTTAGAGAGCAGAGCTACCCAGTGGGTTGGATGTGCCTGAGTCCAGGCCCTGGAGTTAGGGAGGACCATGGACTGGGGATAGAGCAACTGGGGTCAGGGAAGGTGGGCTGCCTAGTCTGTCTCCTCCGGGGTCTAGGAAGGCCTGTTTGCAGACATCACCTGGGAAGACTAGAGTCTTCCATAGAGAGACAGTTTTGGGTGGTGGCTTGCATTCAGACAGTGACCCTTTTCTGTGGCTCCCAGCGTGGTGTCCATGTCCACACTGTATGTGCTGAGTCTGCGCTCTGAAGAGGATCTGGAGGATGCTGATGGGTATGTCCCATGCTGCTAAGCCCTCAGGCCAGACAGGACTAATAATGGAGGGTGGCCTGGGTCAGAGGCATCTCTCTCTAATGGGGTTCAACCTTAGGCTTATAGCCCACCAGAGCCTATTGGGGAGGGAGGGAGGTCTCCTATATAGTGGGTGCTTTCTACAGGCCCTCCCTGGCCTGCTCAGTACTCCTTCAAGTAGGCCGTCGGGAAGACACTTGTGGGAAAAGGGGTGCCGGGAAGGAGGGTCAGAGCAGGACATTGGGCTCTATCTGTCACTGTCATGTCCCAGCTCCTGGGGCTACCTCTGACTGTATCTTTTCTCTCTCCTCCCCTGTCCATCTCCCTCCTGGTCTCTCTATTGTCTCTTAGCTCTTTTGCCGTGTCCACTTCCTGTCTTCTGGCCTTCCTCCGGCCCCAGCATCCTGGGGGGAGTGAGGCCATGTGCCCATGGTATGTGTCTGACCAAGCACCCCTCCCTCCTCTGGCTCCTGCTACCCTTCTTCCTGCTTCTGCTCCACATTCCCTCTCCACCACCTCCTGCCCACCCCTGCTTCTCTGAGACTCCCAGCCCCCACCCTGGGCTCCTCCAATGCCTCTGAGCTGAGCCCACCCTTCCTTAGCAGGTCCAGCCAGAGCTTTGGGACCACGCAGCTCCGAGAGTCCTCTATGACCACCGGAATGCCAGGCACACAGCCCTCTTTGCTGCTGGGTGTGTGTCTGGAGGGATGAGGTGGGGCAGGTGGCTGGGTGTGGGGCTCCAGTGTCCTCCTCCAGCTCATATAGCTTCTGGCTTCCTCAGTTACCAATTCAGCCTCAGGTCCAGCTCTCCGTACCTTGGACCTATGCTCCAGCCAGCCCTGCCCCGTCGTCTGCTGCTCCACGCCCACCTCTAGTGCTGTTACAGATCCTCACCTTGGCCCCACTGCTATCCCTGCCCCAAGCCCCAGGCCCAGCCCCAGGCCCAGCCCCGACCACTCAGGTATGGATATTTTAGGGTTGGCAGGGGTGTTTGGTATTATCGGCATCCAGAGAAAGGCCCCAGAGAGAAGACAGGAGGGATTCCTGGATTGGAGATTGGGGGGATCACCCCCAAAGGAACCAGAAAACACAAAAGGGTTCACAGAAGTCCAGGTCAGGAGGCCAACTGCTCCCCTTTTCTCAATGTATCCTTGCTTTTGTCTATAGGTCCCAGCCAGATGGCCCCACTGCCAGTAACCAACATCAGAGCCAAATCCTGGGGCATTTCAGCTAATGGCATCGGCTATCCCAAGCACTCCAAGAGCCTGGAACCTCTAGCCAGTCCTGTGGTCCCCTTTCCTGGGGGGCAGAGCAAGACCAAGAACAGCCCCAGCCTCAGTCTCCACAGTCGTGCCCGCAGAGGAGCCCCTCAACCCAACCCAAGTCCTGCTCAACTCACTCAGACCCAGGGCCGGCTAGGTACTTGCCCCTCTCAACACCTCATAGCGGCCCAGCCATAAGGCTGCCTGGGCACAGGATTGTCAGTGGGCAGACACTGGTAATCAGGCCACAAGCCTCTTGTAGGTGATGCCATTTAGTCCTCACAACATGGATGGGAAGATATCTCAGTAGATAGATAGTGCTGCTTTGGAAGCATGAAGACCAGAGTTTGATCCCTAGAAGGAATCAGGTGTGGTGGCACACACGTAATCCCAGTGATAGCAAGATGGAGGCAGGGACAGGCTGATCCCTGCACCTCACTGGACAGCTAGCCTCACCTATTTGATGAAGTTCCAGCTAATGAGACCTTGTCTCAGACAAAAGGAAGAAGGCACTGTTGCCATGATTCAGATCTGCCATGAACCAGAGGCCTAGATAAAGGATCATATATACAGCAGTGAGACTAAAATTCTCTCTTCACTTTGCCAAATTCCAGATCTTGTTTACTTTGTCTCTCTGTGCCAGGGTGGAAAGGGTGAGGTACTAGGACCTTAACCTTAGATCTTTCGTTTTAACTAAGATAGAACTCTTTTAGCACCAAAGTGTTCTTTCAGGCTGACTTGTGCGTGCCTTAACCAGAGACTCCACACTGAGATGTAGGCTTCCTCACTTTGGCTTTGTGGCTGTGCAGACAGACAGATGTTCAGAGTGGTGGGGCAACCCCGAGGGTGGGGAGCTCACCTCAGCTCCGTGGGTGCTTGAGACATGCATGGCTCTGCCTGTGTGCAGACGTGAAGACACCTCAAAGTGATGGGTTCCCAGGAGTAGGGAGGGAACTTAGTCTAGGACAACCAAGGAGGGAAGCCACCAGAGAAGACTTCCTTAGAGGAGGTGACATTGAGCCATCTTTGAAAGACATCTGGGGTTTGCCTGAGAAGAAAGCCATCTTGTCTGAACCAGGTGGCTTCACAGGGTATCGTGGGTGCTGCTGGAGACTCTTGAGTTTATACCTTAAAGAACTGAAAATGTACCAGGTCAAGCAAATGTTCAGAGGCCAGTGACCATAGCTTCCCACTTCCGGGATAAAGGACTAGGCAGCAGCAAGCCCGAGATATCAAAATGAACATACACCCTCAACTCCCCACGGCACATTACACCTCAGTAATGGGTTTGTTCAATGAGAGCCACATGCTGGAGGCAGCCCAGCTCCAGTTGTGTGTACAGCTCTTCTGCCCTCCCATGGCTGGTGTCTGGATGCCAGGATGAGCACTGCTGAGCCCAGCCAGGGCTGGGAAGAAATGTGTGTGGTCAGGAACAGAAGCCCGCGAAGGGGTTCCTGTACATCGCTGGTCTGGGAAAGACCTCTACCTGCTTCTGGGTGTCTTGGTTCTGTGGAGACAGACCTGAGGCTCATGGGAACTAGCTGGGAAAAGGGTGTGGTGGTGTGATCCTGTTGTGAGGGTCTGGAAAGAATTCTTGCTCTCACTGAGGTGTGAGTGGAAGTCCCAGGGTGCTGTCATTTGTATTCCACCTTGTCCCCTTCCTCACTGCCCAACAGCCTCTCTTCTTACAGACCCAGTGCCATCCCTGAGCTCCATCCAGCTGCTGGAGAATTCCATGCCTATTACTTCCCAGTATTGTGTGCCAGAGGATGCCTGCAGGTAGGCTGGGCTCCCTCCTGTAGCTCCAAAGAGAGCCCCTTAGGTGCCATGAGTCCAAGCAGCTTGGATGCTCAGATCTTGGCCCTTCAGGGAGGAAATTTTCCCACAAGTTCGGGCAGCCCCTTTCCAGGTTCCCAAGGGGCTTTGGTACAGAAGGCTGAGGAGGAGAAGGGAGACTGGCAGAGTGGCCTTGCTGAGGTACCATCTTTGCCCCTCTAGGCACGGAAACTTCACCTACCACATCCCTGTCAGCAGCAGCACCCCACTGCACCTCAGCCTGACCCTACAGATGAAGTGAGTGCTGGTGTGGGGGAGGGAGGGGCCATGAGGAAGCCTCCAGGGCTTCAGAAATGTAATGTCTAAGTGGAGTGTTCCCTGTATTTTTTACACGGAGGGCCCAGGCTGCCTGGGGAAGGGCTGCAGAGAGACACTGCTGCTTGGGGTTAAGTTGCTATAAGACCCTGCCTCACTGCGACTACACGGGATGGTGGGAGGGGTTTCCTCCATTCCAAGCCCTGGACTGTTCTATGTGGTTCTCAGGTTTTGTGAAGTCTTGGGTAGAATTGGGCTGTATGGGAGACAGGGGAGCTACAGCTACTAAGATGGGAACCCCATTCCATTAACCTACCTATCCCCCAGTTCCTCCACCCCTGTATCCGTGGTATTGTGCAGCCTGACGTCAAAGGAGGAGCCCTGTGAAGAGGGGGCCTTTTTGCAGAGCCTTCACCCCCATCAGGATACTCAGGTAGGGGCAGGTGGGAAGCTGTGGGCTGATTAGGTCACAGACCTTCCTCTTTGCTGGATAGTGATCACCAAATGATGGAAAGCAGAGGACAAGGGTGCCTGTCAGAACACATCCCGCTGGGCTCCTGTGCCTGGGGGAGGGGGCCATGCATGTCAGTCTTCATCCATTCTCTGTTGGGCATCTCCATCTCCTGTGACAGTGGCCAGGGGAGAAGAGTTCATAGGGACTGATCTGGGATGAGCACATAGTGCCCATCGCAGGCAGAGCTGAGCTCCCCACCCCCACACCCCGGGAGGCAAGTGTGGAGTTCACAACCCAGCAGGGCAGTGATTAACAGATGATGTTAGTAGAGCCCTGGGTGCAAGGTGGAAGGCTGCTCTGAGGTCCTATTGCAGCCCCACTCATGGTGATTTTTGCTCACTTGTGTTTTTTCAACAAGCATTTGTTAAGGCCACTCTTGTCTCTTTCCCTGTGCTCCCAAGAACCTGTTTTCCAGGGAGGGAGAGAAGACATGCATAAGATACCTTGAGCCAAGAAGGGAGTAGATGAGGGTCCTAAGGGAGATTCATGGCCTTACAGAGAGGGAGGGACACTTAAGAATAGAGGGACAGCCAATGAGTCACTTTTAGCAGTGGGGCTACGGTCTAAACCCATACAACAAAGGCCAAGTCAAAACTCAGGTAAGACAGGTAAGCTGTTCATGGCTGGCCCCCCGAGCAGACCTGGGGTTGAACCTAGCTCTGCCGTATGTGCATCTTGAAGGAGGCAAGTGACTGTTTCCTGTCTGTGGGATGCAGATGGTTGCTGCAGGGTTACATTCATTGCACTGCAGTTATGGGCAGGGTTAATGAGATACTCACACAAGCCTAGAGCACAAGGAGCTACTAGACACAGGGAGGTCAGGGCTAGGGAAGGCAGTAGTCTGCAGAGGGCGGCTGCCTCTGCTCTCTAAGTGGAATGTGCTCATCCTGGGCTGTGATGGCCATGGTGTGAGGAATGCTGGTTAGGACTAAGGCTGCCCTGACCTTTCTCTCTCCTCTCTCTAGGGCACCTCTCATCGGTGGCCAGTAACCATCCTGTCCTTCCGTGAATTCACATACCACTTCCGGGTGGCATTGCTGGTGAGCACATAGGCCCACCTGCCCACAGAGGCAGAGGGTGCTTCTATGCAGTGTGGGGCTTGGGAGAATAAGGGCCTTTGCAAAGCTTGGTAGGGCTTGGGACAACCACCTCACCCATCCTCACATCCCTTCTACATAGGGTCAGGCCAACTGCAGCTCAGAGGCCGTCATCCAGCCAGCCTCAGAATACTACTTCCATTTCTACCGCCTGTGTGACTGAGCTGCCTCCTGAGGCAGCGCCACAGCCGGGATTAGGTCCCTGGGTCCTCAACACTGGATGCAAATGTGTTACACTGGAGCCTGCTGCAGGCCAGCTCTCTGCTCTTCACTGCCTCCCCTTGACTGGGGAGACTGGAAATCTTCACACTGGAGCTGCTGGGCAAGCTGGCCACCCTCACACAGCATAGAGGGAGCTAGAGTGACCAGCATCCTGAGCCTTTCTTCTGGCCACCTCCTTGGGGCAGCAAAGGACCAATGCGTGGCTGTCTAGATATGGTTGCTGGAGGGCTGGGCGCAAAGGTCCTGTAGGCAAGGGGAAGCTATGTCCCTGACTTGTCCACTCCCAACTCTCCATGCCTTCCCTTCTGAGGTGTGGTGGAGAAAAGGCCCATGGGGGTTGGACCCAGACCTGTAATACCTAGCTGGACACATGAGTCCATGGAGAGCTAGTAACTCTCACCCTTTATGCTGTTCCCAGGAGGGACAGCTTGGTAGTAGACTTTCTGGGGTTTGACTGTTACACTAGACCTGGATTTCTAAGCTTTAATGTGGTTGGTTCAGGGGAGTTCT